TCTTCAAATGCAAGCAAGTTGGCAAAAGGAGTCAGAACTTGTACAACAGGAAAAGGGTGGACTTTGTATCACTATATACAACTTGACAAACATATCTCAAGCTAGAACACGAAGGCTTATGATCTGAAACTCTCCCAAACACAAAAAACACAAATTTATGCCCGAACAGGGCAGCTTCTGCAAAACTCTTGCCAACTCAATATTGGCCCGTGCGTTTCTTGATTCAACACTTGAAACACTTTATCCACATCATATCCAAGTTATCCAAGCCCTTGTCCTGGTTCTGTGAGCTCTGTTTTAGACATCACCATTTTCACTTTTGAAGGTTGCAGGTTGACTTCTACAAGGAGTTTCAAGCATCCTTAAGGCAAGCTAAGAATTGGAATAGCTTGAGGGAACTTCAAGGAAGCTCGCACGATCCTCAGGCCTCACTCAAAGTCCCCACATTGCCATATCCAAACTCAGCTGAACAAGGTATTTTTCAAAACTTTATCTCTCTATTTAGGCATCCCCAAGCTTTGATTTGTGAAGCAAAAATGTAGTCTCTAGCATGGTGAAGTTGTACATATGCATAATTATCATTTATATTAACTGAGTAGTGAGAATTTGAAGCTTGAAGTTCATGAAAAAACTAGGTCAGAAATTAGGGCCATTAAAATTCTCCCTGATCTTTGAGAGTTAGGTCATGAATTTTATATCATTGGAATCGTGAGTTTACAAGCTACATTTTTTATGTTATGAGTTTTTGATTTTATGCAAGCTATAGCAAGATACAGGTTTGAAGCAAGAACACGCGCGTATGGACGAGGCTGAAGGACAGGGATGAAGTCCTGGGCCTGGCGCGCCTTGGGCCTCCTGTTTTGACTTTTCACACCCCCTGATCCACTATCCACATCCCCTTTGCATATTTTGTTTATTTTTCATATTTTCTTTTCATTTTTATATTTATTGCTTTTATTTATTTTTCTGAACATAAAAAAATCATGAAAAATATTTTCATTATTTTTTTGCATTTTATTTTATTTTTTATCTTATTTTTTGCATAAAATATTGATTATTTAGAATAAATAGAATCTATTTTCTTAAAATAAATAGTAAACACATTTAAAAATATCATACATTTTTATTTTTATTATTCATATATATAAAATATTATTTCCACATATATTTTAATTTTTAATATTTGTAAATAATTTTATTTATTTTTTCTTGTACATAAATGGATAAAAATAAATAATAATGAAACATATATTTTCTTTAATAAAAAATTAGGATTTCCCCTTTCAAAAATAATAATATTATTTTTTTCTTATTTTTAGGACTTAAATAATTTTATTTTCTCATACATAAAACAAATACAAAACATTTTTTGCATAAATACATTTTATTTGCATATTTAAATAATTGTGTATTTATTTATTGTACAATAATTCAATTGAGTTGTAATAGTATTTTAGGGTTTTATTTTGTGCAAATATCCCCATTCAAAATTTGTATCCCCCTCCCATAATAATTATTGTAATAGCTTAGATTTACTTTACGCAATTTATCGCATTTATACCATGTGTAGTAAATTAGGATTTTGTGTGATAAGACAAAAATCAAACAAATAGACAAGACCTAATGCAAGACAAAAATGCATGCAAAATGATAACACATTGCACACAAGCACCCCTAGGGTTTCACCCATTTGGTTGCCTAACAAAATGGCCATGGTATGCATGCAAAGTATCTTGGTAAAACAAAACAAAACAAAAGATCATAGTCCCTCGATGACGCTATCAAAAGGTTGCCTAAACAAAGATGATCTTGGTCCCTCAAAATGCTAAAGATACTTGGCAACATTGCTATCATGATCATACGATGACCCACGCTCGTCCCGTTTAATATCCAAAGATAGGGTTGTTTACCAAACCAATGGTAAATCAACAATGTCAAAGGAATAAAAATGTATAGGAAAGACTTTTGAGTAGGTAGATAGCTTCTAGTTACTTGATCAATTTGCAAACAATCCTTGCTATTTCCAAACACACACACATTTTCAAAACATTTCCAAACAACTTTCAAAACCTTGAAACATTTTTCAAAAGACAAACATCTTTGTATACATTCTTACGAACGAGAATCATTACAAAGATTGCCTAAACAAATGCCTCTTTTCAAAATACTTTCAAAACCACACAAAGCACCATTTCAAACAATTTCAAAGCAAAAGCAAGTGATTTAAACAAGTAACTAAGAGCCCATGGAAAACCATGGATGAAAAGGGTGCTAGCACCTTCCCTTTTCATAATCTACCCCCCGAACCCAAAAACAATCTCAAAGGTCTTTCCTGTGCTTTTTACCTTTCCTTTTGGATAAAAGAAAAATCGGTGGCGACTCTTGCTAACTGCAACATTTGCGAACACAAATGCAAACCTCAAGTCAGTTCTCCCACCACATCACAGTGAGTCTTCAGCATCTGAACGTAAGTAATAACTTCTGTCTTCAGATCTTCCGACTGGTTTCCTTAGAACATGTTGTCTTTAGAAGCTTGAGTCTTCAGCATCTGGACATAAATAACAACTTCTGTCTTCAGATCTTTTGACTGGTTTCTTCTGACAAATATCAGAGTTTACACTTAAGAAACTTCTGGAGTGTCTTGCTACTATTCAACAGAACTTACGTAGCATAGAAGTGGAACTATTTCTCTTATAATATCTTGGTCACGCCATCCATCAAAATAAGAATCTATTTGTTAAGTACTCAACAATAACAAACATTAGTATAACAAAATTGTTCATACAATCATACTCATTTGTTATCATAAAAACTCAGATAATATTGCAGAACCAAATCTAATTCTTACATAGACTTCCTATCCAAATCAACAAACTTGTTAATGACCACTACCTCATCCATCAGTAGGTGACTTTTGATAATAGCCGACTAAGTAAAGGCATTGATCTTGTATAAATAATAGACTAACAAGAGAATCCTTATGTGGATCAACACCACAAAAATCGACAAGAAGGATTTAGGCAGCGTGGATTTAGACAAGAAGGAGTAGAAGCTATCATGCATGAAAAACGAAAATTGCATCTACATAATCACAGAGCGACATATGAAATGAATTGTCCTAATTTCTTATTTAGGTTTCTTCCAGTTCCTGGAATTGATTGGGTTGGCGATGTCACTATCCGGTGTCGAGAAACAAGCCTTGCAGTAGAATTGACCTACATAAGACAGTCTTTCTTTGGATTTGGAGGAAATCGAAGACGGATAAAAGGGAAGATCTTTGACTCACTCACGATGAATATTCTTTATAAAATTGATGGCCATTGGGATAGGTATCCAGCCATCTCAATATCACTCTAAAGTGTTATATAAGTGACGGACACTAGACAGATACTCCCTCTGTCCCAAAATAAATGTATCTTTAATCTAAAAAATTTATCTTAAAATAAGTGTTGTTTTACTTTTATAATGCAAATTAATTAATTTTTATCAATTTTACTCTTAATTAATTATGTCTGTACCACTCTTAAGACATTAAATTTCACTTTTCTTTTATAACAATGTTAAAATAATCAATAATCATTAAGACAATTTTGTAAAGGTGTTATATTTATAAAAAACTTTTATTTTGAAACGGAAAGAGTATTTAATATGAAGTATCAGCTATTTAAAATGCAGTATCAGTTCTACGTAGAAAAATAGTGATGGTTGATATTTACCAACATTTTTTGGATATTTAGATGATATGTTTCCTAGTTTCATAATCATATAAACTAATGTTGCAGCACTAAAACATTGAAAAATATCAAAATAATTTATCTTTCATATAACTTTTATTTTAAATAATTAATAGTCAATACTCTTTTTGATTTTTTTTTCCTTCTATTATAGTATAACTATTCACAATTATTTAAAAAAAATTATAAAATGACAATGAAATGTTATATTGAAAAAAATGAAAACAAGGTTCATTTTGAAACAAACTACTTTTATTTCATTCTAAAAACACTCATTGGAAAAGAGAAGAAGTAATGAATAAGAAACTATACTTTCACTTAAACTTAAAATTTATCATTTCCAAATAATAAAAAGTACTCTTTGAAAAATTCAAATCTATATAAAGAAAATCAATAAATTATAGAAGATACTCTTAAAATCAATATTCATACTAACACGTGGGGGTGGGGTCGAAAACCACTGTAGTGACCTGTTTTTTCAATTTTTTTATATTTTTTCTTTAAAATAAAGTAATAAAATATGAATCGAGTCAAACTTGAAAACGTTTGTTTGTTTTTTCTTCTAAATCTTGGTTTTATATTTGTCTGTTTCTTCATTAGCAATAATGCCAAAGCTAATCGAATCTGCAGGTTCTATATCTACGACGTATTTAACAATGAAATATTATAATAATAAATTTTTTTTAAATAAAAATATTTTTTATTTTTTTAAATTGAGAGAATACAAAAACAAAATTATCAACTTTATAATTTCATTAATTTAATATTTTAAATTTTATTAACCAGTTTTATAGCTACTAAAAATCTAAATAATTCATTAACCAACTTTATAATTTAATTAGTAATTTTTTATATTTTATTAACTAATTTTATTTTATTATTAAAAATTATTTTTAATATCGAGAATATTTATTAATCAACTTTGTTATTTTATTTACGATTTTTTTATATTTTATTAATTTATTTTATTTTATCATTAAAATTATTTATTCATATATTATTTACAAACACTATTTATCAATATTGTTCAATTGTATTGTTCAGATACTATTCTATTATTGTTCGTAAAATAAATTTTTTTATAAAAAAAATACTATTCACATATTTATATGATAAATAGTATTTGATATAAATATTTGAATATATAGTTGGGTGTAAGAATACCACGCCTGTTTTCTTTTGTCTTTCTTTTTACTATAAAAAGAACCACATTTTCACAATCTTATGCATCAAGCATAATAGAGAATTAGTCTTTATTCACATGTTATGGCACTATTAAGAGTTTTTTTACTTCTTTCTCTCTTCAATCTCTTCACTACATTATCATCTTCAGAGGCTGTCTCACCAATTCTTGATGTTTCTTCTCTCAATAGAACAAGTTTTCCAAAAGGCTTCCTTTTTGGGACAGCTTCTTCATCATATCAGGTAAATATTTTATCAAATTTTTGTCGATAATTAATGAAAAAATGTTTTTATCATTGATATTTACAAGATTCCAACATGAGATCTTTTAAGTGTTCTAAATCCAGTTTTTGCTATCAACAAAATATAATTTATTAAGAGAATTAAATTTTTTTATAAATAGTTTAAAATTTTCATAAAATATTAAAAAAAATTCATCAAGTTTATGTAATTAAACAATTTATGCAGTATGAAGGTGCTGCAAAAGAAGGTGGGAGAGGACCAAGTATATGGGACACCTTCACTCATAAATTTCCAGGTATTTTATTTCTGTTTCTTCTCTTATATTTATTAATAAGTAAAATAACAAAACTCTTTTATTTTCATTTTTATATTTATATTTTTCTTCAACATTTACAAACAAATATGTTCAGCACAAACCAATCTCGTTGTATAACACTTATAATAAAGAAACATTTATTTACTATTTTGCACAATGATGGGTTATGAGTTTGTCTCTATATGAGAGAACATTTTTATTTGAAGATGCTGCAAATAGTTACCAATCAAGTCTAATATAAAATTAAGAAGTATATTATATTCTTTTTGACCCTTTTATTAATTACTTTTTCTTTTATTAAAATTACCATGCAAGTTTTTACTACCTTTTCATTTATTAATTTATTTTCTTTTTACAGATATAATATTCAATATAACAAATATGTAACATGCAGATAAGATACAAGATAAGAGCAGTGGAGATATTGCGGTCGACCAATATCACCATTATAAGGTAACATAATCTAATTTTCACTTACTTTTATTCTTTTCTCAAATTTTATGGTCATAGTCAAACACACCAATAATGTCTTTCTTCTCAATGGAAAATTGAGTAATACTAATCGATCAATAAGAAAAAATATACCATTAGTTAGACTTTTCTTTAGTATGCTATTAGTAAGACTAAATTCATAAAACTTTGTAAAAGAATTGAAAAATACTCCCTTCTTCCTGATATATAATAAAATAATAATACATATTTATTAAAAATATTAAAATATAATTATTTAGATTAAGATTTTTAATAATTTTAATTTTTTTAAAAAAAATTTATAGGACGATGTAAAACAGTTTTAGTTGAGTATTGATTATAGAAAAAGGAAAAAAGAATAAATTTTAATGCATTTAGCAATTAATTTTATTTATAAAAAACATTCCTTTATTGTTTGGGAAAGAAAATATTTTTATATTTATATTTTAGGATGGAAGGAGTAGTTAAATAATTATATAGTGTATAATAAATTATGCAATATGTAAATTTGTAAAGAAAAATGTAATTTATTTCGATTAGTCGAAGTGAGTTTTTTTTTTTAAATCTTGGTATTCGGTTTTGAAAAGAATAACTTTCTGACTTATATACTTTAAATTAATTATAAGAAATTGTAATATGAATTACAAGAAAATAGTCTTTGAAGTTTTCAAATTAAATTATATTTACAAGAAAATATATGAGTATATTCACTATACTTCATTGTCGTCGTCGGTCGGACTCCACTATTGCTGACGACAAATCAACCTTTGTTGCTCCAGACGATCAGACTCGGTCGGACCACTAATAATTGTCATACCATCGTCGCCATGTTGACATATCTATGTCATTGTCACCTCTACGATCTTTGTTGGTAGCTCCATTGCGCTATTTCACCTCTGCTCGCCAAAAAATCTGGTAGCGGTGAAATGATTTTTCTTTTTTTCTCTTCTCACTTGAGATTTTAAGACATACTACAATAATTCTCCACCTTAACTTTAAATTGATGGTAATGTCAATTTTACCACCAACCACCCTGATGCTTTCTCCAAAGACTTAATCACTCTTCAATAAATTTAATTAAGTCCAAGCAATGCTTGAATCTTGATCTCAACAATGATTTTATGAACATATATGCTAGATTCTCTTTTGAGGGCACAATTTGAATGTGAATCTCCTTTAATTGTATCATGCCATTTATAAATGTAAATAAATGTCAATGTATTTTGTCTTCTCATGGTAAACTTGATAATTGTCAAAGTGAATGAAACTTTTGCTATACAATTTTATCTTCAAACATTCTTGAGTGATCTATAACTCTATTCAGACCTATCAGCCATATGAATTCCTTGATCCATTTTGTAAGGCAATATATTCCTCCTAAGTAGTAGACAACGTGACACTGATTGTTGATTAACCTTCCAACTTATAGTGTACCAAACAATGTAAATACAAAATTTGATAGTAATTTTTTAGTTTCCATATTATTTGCATAAACATAATCTACAAAATCCTCTAAAGTGTCTTCCTCTTAAGTTTACTTTGTGTACTATAAACCCCCCTTTAGAGACTCAATCAAATACCTTAGCACCATCTTCAAAGCTTCCCAATGAACTTGGCCAGAGTTTTCCATAAATTGTCTTATTATGATGATTGCATATGCTAAGTAAGGTATATTACAAATCATACCATACATTAATGTTTCTGATTCCACATGCATAGGAATTGCTTTTCGTTATCTTCTTCTATTCCTTAGTTTGGTGATATTGCTTAATCAAAAGCTTTATGTAATTACCCAAAGGAGTGTTGACGATTTTAGCATTGTGCACTCTAAACCGCTCCACCACTTTCTCCAAGTAACTAGATTGAGATAAGAAAAAATCATTCTTCTTGCGGTTTCTCATGATATCCATCCCCATGATTCGTTTAACTTCACCAAGATATTTTATAACACCCTAAACCCCAAAATATATTTTCTTCAACAACCTATCATATAGTATATGATCATCAACAATCAACTTTTTTAGAACATGATTCACGCGTGTCGAGCAGACCTGGAGGTGGCTGATGTGGGCAAGCGTAAGGATGCCAATAATTAGTCGTAACAGGCAAAGATGTTGGTCGTTAGGATAGGCAGAGAAGTGTTCAGGGGAAAGCGTGATTCTTGCCATTCCTGGATCATTGTCCTCGTGTGGCTTTCAGGATGAGGACTAGTCTGTTTGAGCGGGAAGTTATGGTCTTATTGATCCTGGCGGGACAACCGACCATGTGCCCCCGACTAATAGGCAGAAGTAGATGCAAAGGGAAGCGGTGGTCTCATTGGTCCTGGGGGAAAATCGTTCACGTGTCCCCGACTGATGGGCAGAAGTAGCTGCCGAGGGCAGCGGTGGTCTCTTTGATCCTTAGGGAACAACCGATCACGTGTTCTCGACTGAGGGGAAAAAGTGTTGCTGAGGGCATATGTGGTTTCTTTGGTCCTTAGGGGACAACCAACCAGGTGTCCCTGGCCGAGGAGCAGAAGTGCTACTGAGAGCAGATGTGGTCTCTTTGTTCCTTGGGGGGCAACCGACCACGTGTCCCTGGTTGAGAGGCAGAAGGGAAAGGTGTCCTTTGTCTGCTCCAATTGATTGGGCCAAAGTTGTTGGGCTATCTTGGATGTAGAAGTGGATTGGGCCATGCCTAGGAATTTGACCAGATCGAAACAGGATCCCCCCAAGTCATTGCTTCTAGGAATAAGAGTGATGACTTAGAGCCAGCCCATGCATCGAGGAGGAAAACACGTCGTTGGCACTTGTTGTTTGCGACGAGGATGTTTCGTGATCTTTACAAAGACATGCTCGTACGTGATATATTGTTATTTATTAGGTTTATGCAAGTTTGCAAGCTTGTCTTCCTGAGACATTTTATTTTGATTAAGAGTTTCAGGGGTTTGCTCGTTAGTAGTTGAGTCTGCCTGTGTGGATGACTAGTCAAATATCCAAAGTGATCACCTGGCATGGGCCAGAACCCAGGTCTCATTTTGAGGGCCCGAGCTCGGCAGTGTGAACTTCCCATCATAATCTGGGTGTTCTGCCATCGCGGTACAGCAACGGTGGAGCTCGTTTGAGTTTCCACATCGGGCTAAGAATTTGTTCGTTAAAAGAATGGAGACTTGCCTCTTTGTTAATTTGGAGTGTCATGCTTGTACTTGGGCATGCACATGTGGTCGGGCTAACTGTGTTTTTTGTTTTGACGAGACATGTCGACTGTATCAGTGTTTTAACTATAATATTGTCTTAGTTTTTCAGTGTTCCAAGGTCGAGCAAGTTGTTCCCCATACATGTTTTTGAGATAGTATGCCCCATTTCTATTTTTGCTCGGACGCAATAGTATCTCTTGGATGGAGGACTTGTTCCACCTTTCTTCTTCGTGCTCGTGAGCTTAGACATGATGTCTGCTCAAGTGTTGGTTCGTGTGGGACATATGCCTGTTATGATGGTGTGTTCGCGGGGAATGTATGCCCGTTATGCTGATGTATTCGTGGGGAATGTATGCTTGCTAGGCTGGTGTGCTTGCGGGGAGAGGATGCCTTCCAGGATGGTGTGCTCGTTGGGAGCGGATGCATTCCAGGTTGGTGTGTTCGCGGGGAGCGGATGCCGGCCAGGATGGTATGCTCGCAGGGAGCATTTTCCGGCTAGGCTGGTGTGCTCACGGAGAGCTAATATCGGCCAGGCTAGTGTGCTCGCAGGAGCGGATGTATGCCAGGATAGTATGCTCGCGGGAGCAGATTCCTGCCAGAATGGTGTGCTCGTAAAGAGTAGATGCCTATCAGGCTGGTGTGCTTTCGGGGAGCAGATGCCTGCCCGGCTAGTGTGCTTGCGAGGAGCGGATGCCTGCCAGGCTGGTGTGCTCGCAGGGAGCGGATTCCTGCCAGGATGGTGTGCTCGCGGGGAGCGGAGTCCTTCCAGGATGGTGTGCTTGCGAGGAGCGGATGCATGCCAGGCTGGTGTGCTCGCGGGAAGCGGATGCCTTTCAGGCTGGTGTGCTCGCGGGGAGAGGATGCATGCCGGGATGGTGTGCTCGTGGGGAGCGCATGCCTGCTCGATTGATATGTTTGCAAAAATGGTTTGTTTATGCATTTCGCTTGTCGAAGAGGATGGTGAGGTCATTTCTGCTGTGATTCCGAACATTATTGGTAGTTACTTTCTCCTCATATTGTATGTACGCTTGGGCTTTGAGAAGGAGAACGTCTAGTGTGGTTGGTGTTTCTATGCCAACTGCTTTGGAAAAATTGTTGTGGGGGCGCAGCTTTCGCTCGAGCAATTACTTTTTCATATCATCAATCGTGGAGACCCGAACGGCTTCTTTGTTGAACCTATCAATGTATGCTCTAAAAGATTCTTCTTTTCATTGTATGGTCGCTTCTAGCGAGGCCTCTGTCTTCGGATGACGGAGAGAGGCAATGAAGTTCCTTGAGAACATATTCCCCAACTGCTTCCATGAGGTGATGGATTCGTTGGGGAGGCTTTTGTACCAAGACATTGCCCCTTTTTCTCAGAGTGGTTGGAAACAGTCTGCACTTGATGGCATCCCTAACACCATTGTAGTCGAGTAAGCACCAATGTTCTTGATGTGATCGTCAGGATCAATTATCTCGTCATATGTTCCCTAGTTTGGTGGTTTTTCTAGCCCGAGATAATGAACCGCAGGGTCTTCCTCGTCGCTCTAGCCCGGTGATGGTGGTGGAGAATAGTTGTGGTCCCCTTGTCAAAGACAATTGTCTCGTCGAGGAGATAGGCTTATCAATATGCCCTTCGATTTCTTGTCCACCAGGGAGAGATGGTCCCTCCGAGGAGAGGTGTGATCACACTTCTTGATGGCCAAGAGATGGGCTCTTTCTTGCTCCTGACGATGATCCTGTCATCGAGAAGAAGGGTTATGTGATCCTTGTCGATGGTGCCTCCGCGGGAGAGACTTTGATCGGTGAGAATTTTCCAACACCCACATCATCTCAT